ATCCATAATGAGAACCAGGCTTTATCTTACTATTGCTTCCACAGTTTTCTAAAATATAAATAATTAAAAATCCTTATAACTTTCTCATTTCCAGTGTTCATATCACACTTCTCAACATTTTTCATCCACGTTTAGCACATATAAATAATTACAAAATACACGTAACCTAGCCTATCCAAGGCCAATTTATACACACACACATCATAATTAATAAATTTAGATTTAGCACATCATAAATAACATTCTAAAAAATTATCTTTGGTTACACATAACTTTACCATTGATGAATGCGTGTTTGGGTCAGATGTAACATAGACTAACATTCTCAGAGAATGTGTTGAATGACCGAAGAGCTCCGAAGTTGAGGTCTCCTTATCCTTGTCGTCAGAGTGACAAGTGATGTGTCACGACCTATCATAGGTCTCCTCCCATATGCTTTGCTAGCTCATGTGACTTTCAGATCATTGTTAACGAATACGGCGTCCAAGCACTACAAGGTGTATTTTGCTTTCACAAAACAATACAATAAAATGCTGGTACTCCCTGATACATCATCCGCATTATATACGTTTTTCATACTAACATAAATAACACTTCCTAGTATTGCTTCATGCAATAATAATGCAAAATGATTGATGATTAGTTGATCCTAATTATCAGTGTCCTTGCTCGGTGCATCCAATTAGTGAGCATCCCACCCACCTCCGAGCATTTCATCTCAATACATCCCATCATCTAAGCTTCCTGATTTAACACTATTCCATGTATTCCTGCACCATATGTTCCAACTTATATGCGTCCTAGCTTAATGCATGCGCCCGCCATGCGTACACTTTTCATGCATGTCTGCTTAATTAATGCGTCTCTGTGAATTAACCACTTCAGGTGTGCCAGTACAACCTGCATTCATTTGTCCATCCCTGCATGATAGCATTGCATCATGTGATCCAGTCTTAGTCTTTTATCCAGTCTTTTAAGGCTTTTTTGTATTTATTGCAAGCCTTAGGTTGGTCTCGTAGTGCCCCTGTCACCACTCCTCTTTCTGAATGCCTCTTTGCATTCTTCTACAGTCTCACATGTTCCTCGTGTTCCTCTTCTCACCACCGCTTCAAGCATTCGTCCTTCATTTTTTTAATTCCATTTCTGTTTCCCATTCACCTGTCATTCTCTTTCTGTTTTCTCGTTCATCTGTCACTTTATTTCTGTCTCCCATTTAACTTGACTATGCAGTATTTGTCTGTTCCCCTTCGGTATACAAAGTACACTTGTCAGTCATTTTATATCTTCAATTTCACCTGTCACTCCCTTTCATGGTGTTTACCCGTCACCTCTCACTCCCTCTTATTCCTTTATCCCAGTCAATTGTCACACTATTTACTAGGCTTTCCTATTTTCTGTTTATATCTTCCTTCCTTCTTGCCTTCCAGTTATTCTTACACTTTTTCCTTCATTTCCCTTCTTGATCTTTTTAGTTCTAATAACTTTATTGTCGTTGTCACTCTCTCTCCTCTCCCTCCGTTTTTTTTCCTTTAAATGTTTGTTCTCGCCTGCATCTTATTCACACCCTCCTGTCTCTATCCCTTTCCGGTTTCCGCATCTACCTAAAAAAATCTCCCCTTTCGCAATTTGCTTCTCTTCCCACTATCGCCTGTATTTCATTATTTCTATTCCCTCTCGCTCTGTCTCTCTTTATATCTCTCTCTTTCCACAGTTTCTTCATAAATATTGATTTTTCTTTACTGGAGTATCAGGAAATTGTATTCCTTTGGTCCCGAAATTCTCTTATCAGGGACAGTACACATAAATCCTTCAGGTAGCGCTGCGTTCGTGGAGAATGCGTTTGTTCAGACGGTAACAAAAGAATCAACTTGAAAGGATTTTGTATTAACTCCTTCTTTATGAATGAAAATATTGTATTTTTTTCGTTTATATTTAAATTCGTGTTTTTACCTCCCTCTCTTCCCCCCCCCCCCCCCTCCCTCCCTCCCCAAATACATGTTACCCTCCTCTTAATTCAATAGAACAAAAGCACGTTAGTGTTACGAAAACAGGTTTTTAGCACGCAATTCATGAAACTATAAACAGTCCAATGTTAATTGGTTGACTCCGAGAATAAGGTTTCTGTCACCTTATTAGCTACGTTACTGGTCATATATTAAAGAAATTCATATATATTGAAAGATTTAATCCATTATTCGCATGAGAATTTCACCATGAAATTCGTATAAGCATTAAAAAATACCAAAATATATATAAGTTAATCATGCAACTAGTGGTTGTGATTGCATTTATATGTTGTCGAATTCAACATTAACCCCTGTCATAAAAGGGTCCTGTGTCTCAGAGGAGCAATGTGACAGAGTACTGGTCTGTCACAGAGAGAACTGCTGCGTAGCAGAAAACCAGTGTGTCACACAGTGGACTGCTGTGTCACAGAGAGGACCAGTTTGTCGGAGCAAGAACCAGTGCGTCACAGAAAGTATTGGGGCGTCATAGAGAGTATCAATGTGTCATAGAGAGTACTAGTGTGTCATAGAGTAGATCGGCGTGTCAGAGAGCAAGGGTGCCTCAAACTGTAGGAATGCTTCACTCAGTTTGCTTCTCCGGTGAAAATTCTTTAGATAATTTTGATATTGCCCATAAATGCCATATATCTATGTTGTCTCTTGCTGGAGTTGTATTCTACAATTTTTTTCTACAGCATATTTAAATCTAATTCGTGTTCGACTACCTGTATTCCCATGCACAAGGAATAAATATCACTATCAATACTCTTTAATATCTCGCATTCATAATTGGAGAAAATTGAGTTTAAACTTATGCAAAATTTAAACCCTGATTTCTTTTGGAAACTAAACAAAAATTCTATATTTTCGACGATAGACGAGTCCGTACCATTACGTATTCATCGTTCTCATTTTCTGCAATAAAATATCCGCATTTTGAATATTACATGAAGAAGGCCGATGCCCAGAATTTTCCGATAAATGAAAGACAGAATGAGAGGAAAATTCTGCATAAATATGCACCTTGTTTGTATAAATATATAATTTTGTATGACTTAACAAAGTTATAAAAATAAAATGAAATTTGCAATATTTTCAAGATACACATAATGGCCTGTGGTACTCAAGTTTTTAACCTCTGACATGGTGTAAGTTATACAGTATTACATTGATTAATACCAAGTTAAAATAATATTTCTAATCTTCCCTTATGAGTTGCCTTCATTAATCCAACGAGTTAGTTAATTTAACGCTAAGTGTCGACGTTTTACAACGTACGGTGCTGTATACAGTACAGAACCGAGACACATGTACAGAGATCGACTGAACTCCAGATGTATTGAAATATACTGAGCTTCAGATGTATTAAGGTGAGATATGTTCAAATCCAAATGTATTAAGGTGAGATATACTGAGCTCCAGATGTATTAAGGTGAGATATACTCAGCTCCAGATGTATTAAGGTGAGATATACTGAGCTTAAGTTCTATACAGAGATGTACCGAACATCAGACATGAACACAGAAGATATATTGAACTTCAGAAACATACAGGGAAGATATACAGAAGGGATGGGAATTATCAGAGAAAAGCGCCTAGTAATTACGAATATATAGCACTTGGGAAGGATCAGGATAAAGTTTTGGGATGGGACGGGGGAATGGAATGGTGCCCAATCACTTGGACAGTCGGGGATTGAGCGTCGAAACTGTATGAAATGATACCGTCGCTCTGCCATCCAGTCCAAGTGATTGTATACATTTGATGCTCAGTATATTATCTGCATACATATGAAGCTAAGTATATCTCATTTGTATTCATATGAAACTAATTATATCTCCTCTATAAGTACATACTAAGATAATACTTATCGGGAATATATAGCTTCATATGAATTCAAATGAGATATACTGAGCTTCATATGTATACAAATGTTATACTGAGCATCAAATATACAAATTAGAGAAATACTGAGGTTAATATATAGAGGAAATATACAGAGCCTCACGTGAATATAGAGAGAAGATATATTATAGAATATTGAGGAGAGGCGGCTGATAAGGCTGCACTATGAATGATTGCCTGTCGCGAGTCCTTCAGTAATTATAATCATCTGGACCTGGATTCATGAAGCAGTTACGCAAGCACTTATAAACCTGTACATCATTTCTCAATCTTTGGCGGCTTTGTTTACAGTCATAAGACAGTTAATGAGCTCCGAAGCACCAGGAGGCTGTTTATAACAATATGAACAGTAGATTTGGGAGGTTTTCATGCTTGTAAACTGTTCAGTAAATGTAATGAAAGCCATCAAAGATTTAGGAAAGATGTACACCCTTCGTAAGTACTTCGTGAATCTGACCCCTGGTTAGGGATGCTGTGAGAGGAAAGCTATTTCTGACTTCTCGTCGCTAGTGGCGCTTGGAAACTGACATCAACCAGCAGGAACAGTTCTGTTCACGCCTTGCCATGTGGCACAGGCTAGCAATAATAAATCTAGGTTTGGTCTTGTGTGGGAATTACTATAATTTCAACTTCTGGCAGGTAATTAGGGTCACCACAAGTACATATACTGACTTGCTTAGAACCGGGGATACCAAAAAAATCTCTCAAGTCTATGTACACCAAAAAGTGGAGTATACCTGCAGATATACGTATACCCAGAGGAAGATGCGGGAGAGGGAAGGGAGTGAGGGGAAAAGATACAGATAAAGTACAGCCTGTTGAAGGGAGTTGCAGATAAAGAAACAGTCGTGGGTTAACCAGGCTGGCGCGATACGACTGGTGTTCTATAGGTTGGAAAAGATACTGTCCTGATAAACGTGTTCCTGTGTATTTCCTTCTTCCTCCTCCTCCTTCTTCTTATCTGTGGTTCTTTGTGTCTTCCGGGCGTCTGTGTTTTTCCTTATCTTGTCTCTTGAAGGTGAAGGGGTTTACCTCCTTGGTCATCAGTTTGATCCTGTTCTTTATTCTTGCCTATATATGGTATGATATTTATTCGTGTTCATGCTGTTCTTCATAGTATTCGTGTTCATGCTGTTCTTCATAGTATTCGTGTTCATGCTGTTCTTCATAGTATTCGTGTTCATGCTGTTCTTCATAGTATTCGTGTTCATGCTGTTCTTCATAGTATTCGTGTTCATGCTGTTCTTCATAGTATTCGTGTTCATGCTGTTCTTCATAGTATTCGTGTTCATGCTGTTCTTCATAGTATTCGTGTTCATGCTGTTCTTCATAGTATTCGTGTTCACATTGTTCATAGTCTTCATGTTAATATTGTTCTACATAGTCTTCGTCCTTATATTGTTCTTCATAGTCTTCGTCCTCAAATTGTTCTTCATTTTGTTCTTTATGATTGTCGTTGTCTTTGAGTTTTTTTCGGAGTATTTTTCAAGGCCAAGCGGTATACTGTCGATGACACCTCATAAGCATTGTGGGCATCACTTCGCACACAACTCCTTTTCCCGATGTTTTCCAATACGTTGAGGTATTTCTTATTGATGTCTGTTGTTCGGCCACTGAATGTGTTGTTGTATACACATGTTTTTGCTTGGTTAGAGATACTCAATGAATAGCAACCAACAAGTTCCTTGTTCCTTATCGCATTCTCTTTTGTTCCGTCACGCATGCGTGTACAGAAATTTGATGTCCTCATGTACGATTCGTCACTTTTGCGGATGGTGCTCTCTCTTGAGGTTCGTGTGAGAAGGGACCTCTAGTGTGGTGGGTTCACTGGATAAAGTGGGACCTCTGGCGTGGTGGGTTCAATAAATTGGGCTCCTCAAAGATGGTAGGTTGGATTTCTAGCTCTTGCTGTGGTGGTTCGGTGGCGGCGGCTGGCGTTTGTCCTGGAGTTCATGTGGGTGTTGACGTTCCCAAATCTTCTGTGGCACAAGAGCAGGCGGTATATTCTTGGCCAATAGAAGTCTGTTGATTGCCTTGATGAAGAGGCACCGGTCGTTTTCGGCGACTCTGAGATGGCGATGATTAGTTTCACTTGAATGAGTTATCTGTTGCTCTCGTCGTTTGAGGAGTGGGTTTGATGTGCTGGTGAGTTGTGTCCACCCAGGCGGTTTGTTGATGTTATTGGTTGATGTTTGGGTTGATGATGGCTTATCCACCAATGACTTGTTGTGTACTGAGTTTATCCAACAGTGTCTTATTCTGCTTCAAGAATGTCCAACATCATGATCTTCGCCGTGTATATCAACCAGTGCCTTGTTCTGCATTGAATGTATCCACCTGTGTCTTGTTCTGCGTTGAATATATCCACCAGTGTCTTGATGTGCATTGAATGTATCCACCTGTGTCTTGCTCTGCGTTGAATATATCCACAAGTGTCTTGTTCTGCACTGACTATATTCACTAGTGTCTTGATCTGCGTTGAATATATCCACCTGTGTCTTGCTCTGCGTTGAATATATCCACCTGTGTCTTGCTCTGAAATTAAATCCACCAGAGTCTAGTCTTGCACACAGTATATACAGCAGCATTTTGCACAGTATTAAGAATATCCACCAGCATCATTTCTTATGTTGAGAATATCCACCGCATCTTCTTCTCCCCTTAGTACATCCATAAGTGTTTTGTTTTGCACCAGGTTTATCCACCAGTTTGTTTTGACTTGTCGAAAATATATCCACCAGCGTTTTAATGGGGGGGAGGGGTAAAGGTGCATAAACAAAAAATATATAATAATAATGCATAAATGAAACAATTTAAAAACAAAAAATAAAAAACAGAACATAATTTAAAAAAATACAGAAAATAATTAATAATATAAATGGTAAAATATAATACAAATGTATTTCTCTTAATTACAAAACGTTAATAATGGATTATATGTTTAATCTATTTCAATTCCAGCAACGCAAGTAGAATTGGTCAACGTCAAAAGGACTGATGGAGTAGTGAGCCAGGTGGGACAGTATAAATGGAAGGACTTGAAATTTTACAAAGTGAAATTTACGGAGCCAAGTGTAGCGAAGTGCTGCTAATCTCAACACTTAATATATCCAATGTAGACAAGTTCTATCATTATTGCCATACACCTGAACCTATTTATGTAGTGAAAATTATGAATTTGTTAAGGTAGGGTTGGGGGAGAAATGCTGAATGCAAAAGGGTTTGAATGCAAAAAAGTCTGAATGCAAAAGGGGTCTGCCATCACATCCGTGTATCCAGAATCTTAAGGAAGACCTGTATACATGCATATGCAATAAATGAAAAAGCAATTAGTGAACGTAAAGTGTATGGAATGTATATCACTCAGTTGAAGGAATGAATGAGTAATTAACTAGATAAAGCTGCAGTTGAATACAGACGAAACTTACCCAGGATATCAGAAGGTTCCCTAAAATTATGTTTGGTTTTGTTGGAAATTAACTGTATTTGTAGTACGTTGGTTCAGCATTTGAACAGGTGGGATTCGAACATAGGAAGAAAACAAAACAGTGTTCGTGAAAAGCTTGAACGTGAGTCATTCGTAAAATGTTTATCATTGATAAAAAAATGGGTTTCGCTGCTTAATTAACGAATAATTGGGCATTGTCCGTGAAGAGATTGTTGTATTATCAGTGAGTGGGTGTAGCACTTATCAGCCCGTCCTCATAAACAATGTCGAAATGCTATGTAGTCCAGCCGACAAACCCTCTATAATATATATACTAAACACTTTTCACAAGACTTACATCTGAAAACGTTGGAGTTTTTCTCGAGCATTGCTTCGTTATCTTCCTATGTTCGAATTGAACCCCTATTAATGTTTCACAAACGTACTGCAAATGGAAATAATTGGCAGCAGAACCGAAACACTTAACTTAACCTACAACTAAATATGCGCAAAATTATAATATATATTAATATTAATTTATATTGGAGAAAAATCATATTTTGAATGTACAGTTTGTTAAAACTGATGAAATTAGGGTTGAAGTTCGAATTATTCAAGAAAAATTCGAACTAATCAGTTGTGAGTCGAGCGTAAACAGAATTTATTTTCATTTATAAACTGGGGGTTTTGGTGTTGGATTAACTTGACCAATGTTCAAGAGGTCGGGCTATTGTACCAAAACAGGCGAAAGGACCTCAAATAAAAGAATAATCTTGAATCTTATTTGATCTCAAATAGTCTATTCTTGCGCTGTTTGCACACAAAGGCGATTTGATGAAAGGTAATAATGACACATTGTTGAATACATTGAGACCAATTTATTTTTTTCGAATTTTTTTACACTGATGTTGTAAATGTTAAAAAAATATATGCTAGTCCCAATGCGAATGTATACAAATGAATGAGTATTAGGACATTTTTGACGAATTCACACTATCATCTTTCACTTGATATTACTTGAGATAGTGCCAAAGAACATGCAAGATGCATCTAAATCTTACTTTAGAAAACTAAACATTTCCTTCGTAGAGCCAACATATTCCCGTTAGCTATAAATAAGGTCAATGTCAATAAAAAACATAAGTGTGAATTCCGTATAGACTTTACTGAGCTGAGAGGTGAACCCTCAACAAAGTATATCAGTACTGATTTACTTTTGTAATAAGATGTGAATTAAGCTCTAAATATAGACAACGCCATGATCAAACTTTGAAATAATTATCAGAATTATGAGGAAATATATTATTTACAAGATGAGTTGTTTAGGTTTAGACAACAGCAAGCAAAATAAATGCAACTATAATACCCATTCAAACATTTCAATATTTTTTTTTACAAATTATTTCAAGTTTTCCCCGAAACGCTTTGCGTAATAGTGGCTTCATTAGTTTGTGTAACTTCTGTCCTTACAATTGTACATTACACATATGTTGTACATGTTGTATATGTTGTTGAATATGTACACATATTCTTTTGAATAAAAATTTGAATAGTCTTATTTTAAATATAGATAAAATACATGATCAGATTAGAATTCGACGTTCTAGTGGTGATCTAAGGGTAATAATTAATAATACTTATAATACGTTATAAATAGGTATAATATAATTACCTGGAATCACTTCAATGACTGCCTAACCTGTTGACGTTTTACCCTCACATCAGAAAATGGAAAAACGACAACGTTTCGGTCCGAACTGAACCATTATCAAGTCTTAGGGTTCTGTCCTGGGTTCGTATCCTGGCCGGGGAGGTTTTACTGGGCCTCAATCCTGAACTGTAGTCTCTGTTCACCCAACAGTAAAATGGGTACCTGGATGTTAAACGATTTGGCGGGTCGTATTCCGGGGAACATAGGATTATATGACCTGCCCGAAACGCTATGCGTACAAGAATGTAAGATCTCTTGTATTTAGAAATAAATACAACAAATTTATATATAAATAAAAAGTAGACACAGACATTCATTATCAACAGGGCAATTCAATATTGCACTGTGGGTTTTCGCGGCACTAGGGAGCCATTACTCACCAGTGTCGCGAAGAGAGTGTTAGATAAATAATGTCAATAAATGACACTAGAAGAGGTCATTATCGTTGTATTTAATACAGATGTATTGTCAGTTTAGTTTAGGGACAACCAGCCGAGAAAAGTGACTTTTGCTGTGGTAATGGATGCAGTATGTCTTCACCCGACTTGTACCCAGTCACTTGGGCTGGACGGTAGAGCGACGGTCTCGCTTCATGCAGGTCGGCGTTCAATCCCCGACCGTCCAAGTGGTTGGGCACCATTCCTTCCCCCCTTCCCATCCCAAATCCTTATCCTGACCCTTTCCAAGTGCTATATAGTCGTAATGACTTGGCGCTTTCCCCCCCTGATAGTTCCCTAGTTCACCGGACTTGCTTATGTCTTAATTATTCATTTCTTTCCTCTCTCTTGTTTCCCATCTCCCTCTTCTATTTCTTTTATCGTCCCCCTGACACCTCGCTCTCTCTCTCTTTCTGTCTGTCTCTGTCTGTCTGTCTGTCTGTCTGTCTGTCTGTCTCTCTCTCTCTCTCTCTCTCTCTCTCTCTCTCTCTCTCTCTCTCTCTCTCTCTCTCTCTCTCTCTCTCTCTCTCTCTCTCTTTCTCTCTGTCTAGCTCTTTTATTTCTCATATAGCATTCCACTTTTAATTATATTTTGGTTTTCATCTCCTCCTCCTCCTCTTCATGCTTCCTCTCCATCACTCCTCTCACCATAACATTACCAAACAGCCTACCAGCTTAACACTGACTGGCCACAATAGCTCAAGCCAGACCGATTGCCTCAGATAACCGGTCATCGCTCTCTTGTAAAGTAATCCGTTTGATACAGGAATATTTATTATATATATATTGTTACCTAAGTGAGCTCTAGCACTGCAACATTCGCAGCTGCCATACGTACATACGATAATAATGCTCCATTATTATTATTATTATTCTGAGCTGTTGAGTGCTCGCGTTAAGGGAGATTTACCAGAGACCTGAAATATATGAGTATGCTTAGAGTGTATTTATTAATACATATTCAGAAGGATCCATCTGAATATGCATTATGAAATACGAGAGTACTTAAGGAAATTGATGATTTAATCTTTCCTTATTGGTGTGACAGTGGCATATATATATATATATATATATATATATATATATATATATATATATATATATATATATATATATGTATGTCGTACCTAGTAGCCAGAACGCACTTATCAGCCTACTATGCAAGGCCCAATTTGCCTAATAAGCCAAGTTTTCATGAATTAATATATTTTCTCTAATTTTTTTTCTTATGAAATGATAAAGCTTCCCATTTCATTATGTATGAGGTCAATTTTTTTTTAATGGAGTTAAAATTAACGTAGATATATGACCGAACCTAACCAACCCTACCTAACCTAACCTAACCTATCTTCATAGGTTAGGTTCGGTTAGGTAGCAGAAAAAGTTAGGTTAGGTTAGGTTAGGTAGGTTAGGTAGTCGAAAAAACATTAATTCATGAAAACTTGGCTTATTAGGCAAATCGGGCCTTGAATAGTAGGCTGATAAGTGCGTTCTGGCTATAAGGTACGACATATATATATATATATATATATATATATATATATATATATATATATATATATATATATATATATATATATATATATATATATATATATATATATATATATATATATATATATATATATATATATATATATATATATATATTTATCTATATATCCATCTATATATCCATCAATCTCTCTATTTATCTCTCTATCCTTCTGTCTATCCAAGTATCTATACATCCATCCATTAATCAAATCATACTATCCATCTACGCATCCATCTATCTATCCATATCCTATCTATCCTATCTATTTTGAAGACTTTAAGAGTCTTCAGAACTTTATATATAATAATTCATAACACCACCTGCACAATATATTATATATAACTTCGAAACACCCCCTACACCACTAAGTTTCACACAACACACACACACACACACACACACACACACACACACACACACACA